GTGTGTCCGCCAAACAACAGAGTGTCTCTGCACCAGTCGCTGGAGTCGGCCGTCAACAAGTACGCTGAACACTTCCACGACTGCTGGGCCGTGAAGAAGGTCGGTACTTTTTGTCTCCATTACCGCAATTAAGACACAGGCTGTTTGTTGCTTTTTACAGTTAGAAAGTCTAACTTTTTCAATTTGTAGTCATGTTTTAATTTGATTCTGTTAACTCTTGAAACTTTTCTTCTTTTTGTTTTCGTTTTAGTTCGTTTGCTTGTTTGTTTGTTTGTTTGTTTGTTTGTTTGTTTGTTTGTTTGTTTGTTTGTTTGTTTGTATTTTAGGGGGATGGAGTGTTTTTTATCTTTATCTTTCAATGGAAGAGGGGGGGGGGTGTAAATTTTGAGCTTTTGCATGATTGCCAGACTTTGAAAAAGATTGGGTCATCTAGAACACAACGTTGCACAGATAGCTTGGGGAAAAAGGGGTGTGGACCTGAGCGGTTATTTTTATTGCCAAGCTGTGAAAAAAGCTGGACATCATGAGTAAAGTATCACAAGTAAAGCCAGGGTAATCGTGCCGTGCTCAAGGACAAACCCAGTGACCACTCACCTTAACACTGTGTCACCGACATAACTTGGGATTTATTGTCAGTTACTTGTGAAAATTGCTTATTTTAAACAGACTTTTGAGCTGGAATAAATGCTTTTTTGTGTGTTCAACAGTTCATATTCTTTTCTCCTGAGGGGCTTCATCATTTCACTTGTTAACATCCTGGGGCTGTAAAGCATATGTCACTGGTTCGAATCTCTATCGAAGCTGTCCTGAATGTATGCTGTAAGTTGAGTTGTTATGTCTCTCAAGCCATTCACTGGATCCTATCGGAGGCAGACGCCACATCATACTTCCTGCCTGTTTCGAACTATTAGAGTTGAAAACGTACTAATCATCAGACCATACGTCCGTCTTGGTGTCTATACCTCCGCTGTTCTTCCGTCTGTCTGCAGATCGAGCAAGGCTGGCAGTTCGGGACCAGCTATGACGACGACCGGAAGATCCACCCTATCCTCAAGCCTTACCATCTGCTGGACGACAAGGTGAAACACCCGGGGTGGGGGTATGGCATGTGAGGATGGGTGGGGGGGGTATGG